AAAAAAACTAAAACATTTGATTGGTTATACCATTTCCTCTAAACGAATTTTGCATTATGCAAGTTTTATTAATAATAAATCATTTAAAATTCTGAACACAAAAACAAGGTATCTGACAGGTCTTCCATAAATATAAGACCTTTGACAACTCTTGTCTTGTCGGAAGACATTTGAAAAGACTTCTATAGAAAAGAATGCGCTTCTTCTGCGGTTCGCAATTGGTGACTTGTGTATGAGGAGACCAACTGCTATTCTATGGCGAAGACCTATCAGCTCTTCTATGGCGAAGACCTATCAGCTCTTCTATGGCGAAGACCTATCAGCTCTTCTATGGCGAAACCTATCAGCTCCTCTATGGCGAAGACCTATCAGCTCTTCTATGGCGAAAACCTATCAGCTCTTCTATGGCGAAGACCTATCAGCTCTTCTATGGCGAAGACCTATCAGCTCTTCTATGTAGAAGACCTATCAGCTCTTCTATAGCGAAGACCTATCAGCTCTTCTATAGCGAAGACCTATCAGCTCTTCTATAGCGAAGACCTATGAGCACTTCTAGGAGAAGACCTTCAGCTCTTCTATGGCGAAGACCTATCAGCTCTGCTATGGAGAAGACATTCCACCTCTTCTATGAGATGATCTATCAGCTCTTCTGTGAGGAGAAGATCTTCAGCTCTTCTGTGAGTAGAAGACCTTCAGCTCTTCTGTGAGTAGAAGACCTTCAGCTCTTCTGTGAGTAGAAGACCTTCAGCTCTTCTGTGAGTAGAAGACCTTCAGCTCTTCTATGAGAAGACCTATCACCACTTCTAGGAGAAGACCTATCACCACTTCTAGGAGAAACCTATCACCACTTCTAGGAGAAGACCTATCAGCTCTTCTAGGAGAAGACATATCACCACTTTTAGGAGAAGACCTATCAGCTCTTCTGGGAGAAGACCTTCAGCTCTTCAATGGAAAATACCTTCAAGCTCTTCTGGGAGAAGACCTTCAAGCTCTTCTATGGAGAAGACCTTCAAACTCTTCTAAGAGAAGACCTATCACCACTTCTAGGAGAAGACCTATCACCACTTCTAGGAGAAACCTATCACCACTTCTAGGAGAAGACCTATCAGCTCTTCTAGGAGAAGACATATCACCACTTTTAGGAGAAGACCTATCAGCTCTTCTGGGAGAAGACCTTCAGCTCTTCAATGGAAAATACCTTCAAGCTCTTCTGGGAGAAGACCTTCAAGCTCTTCTATGGAGAAGACCTTCAAACTCTTCTATGGAGAAGATCTTCGCTCTCCTGCGAAAAGGCCTTCTGCTCTCCTATGCGAAGTCTTTCTGCTCTTCCATACTTCGTATGTTTCATTTTTTTTGTTGCAAATCTATTATTGCCTCTTGGCTTACCTTCCCCTCATCACATTTAAATTGCTAATTTGTTGCCAAATTAAATACGGGACCGTTGCAATGGTGAGCTCCCATCGGGTGCAAATTGATTGGAATCACAACAGTATCTCAAATGCTTACACAGCGGTAAATAGCTTTCCCTTTGCAGCCGATAAACCCTTCTTGCCATACGGCGGAACTAAACAGCCAATATGCTGCCAGCTGTTTTTTAAATATAAGAACCGTTCATTCTTTTCATTGACTTGTTAATGTCTCTGTCCCGGCTGGAAGCATTGCAATGTCAGTGCAGCTGAGGAAAAAAAGGAATGGAGATAAAGAACTGTTAGCGCCCCAGCCGCATCATCATACCACACGACACCAAAAAAATAAAAGAATATTTGAATCTGCAACTAAGCTTCCAAATCATGAGCATGAATTTGCTGCTGCATCAGCAATTAGATAGTGGCATGGATACGATGAAGCACACACATTCCAAGCTCATCATCCTCAATTCGCATTAAGTATTGAATGAATGACTTCCAGATGTGAGTGTGCGTGTGTGTGAGTGTGCATCTGTGTTTGGGTGCCCGATAAACATCTTTGATCCGTGTAACTGGTTTTAATACAATTTTGTCACCCAAAAAAGCAATGCCTCCAATGGCACTGTTCTGCTTTGGCCAGTCAGCCAGCTAACCAATCGACCGACCAGCTGGATTTAAATTGAAATCACTTTCTGGTGAATTGGAGGCACAACAAGTTGATTGCTGTCGTTGTCTGTCTGATCTCTGGTTTTCGTGTGTGCGTGTGTGTGTGATTTCTCTTTGTAGAAACTTTGTATGTGGGTCTGTCCGCACATTGACTTCACTTAGCCTCCAGTTTGTTTGTCAGTCATGTTAATTGTTAATTTTATTATTTTATTATTTGTTCGTTTCGCATTTCTTTTCGCTGTTTGTTTCCACATTTGCCAGGTCTTATCATCATCATCGCCATCGGCATCGCCATTGTCGGACGTCTACACGACCACGGCGACAAGATAAAAAAGGGCGTTTCATATGATCCAAGTGCGAGATTCCTAAACGCCTTTGACTTGAGTTTGGGATTTAGGTTTGGGATTCGGGTGGGGGTCACAGGGAGGGGGTCCACATAACGTCATCGTTGATCTGCGTTGAAATGGATGGAAAAAATATTAAGTCTGGTTGCTGGATTTGTCTGGGTTTGGGCTGACTGCTCAGTCAGCCAGACACTTGAACCATTCTTTGAGCAATGTCTTCTTATTTAATATTAATCAATTGAAATTAATTCCAGTTAAATTGAGGTTACGAAGGAGAGATTTAAAAACAAGAAATAAAAACAACAACAACAACAACGGCGTCATGACAATAGATTCTGGTTAAATCTATTTTAGAAGCTAATGAAAAAATTGAATTAAAAATAAACCTCATATGTCTTTTCATAGAAGACTTGAAGGTCTTTTCATAGCAGACCAGGAGGTCTTCTCATAGAAGAACCGGAGGTCTTCTCATACAAGAACCGGAGGTCTCCTCATGGAAGAACCGGAGGTCTTCTCATAGAAGACTCGGAGGTCTTCTCATAGAAGACTCGGAGGTCTTCTCATAGAAGACTCTGAGGTCTTCTCATGGAAGACTCGAATGGCTTCTCATAGAAGACTCAGACGTCTTCTCATAGAAGACTCGGAGGTCTCCTCACTGAAGACTAGGAAGGTATTCTCATGGAAGACCCGGAGGACTTCTCATAGAAGACTTGGAGGTCTTCTCATAGAAGACTCGGAGGTCTTCTCATAGAAGACTCGGAGGTCTTCTCATAGAAGACTCGGAGGTCTTCTCATAGAAGACTCGGAGGTCTTCTCATAGAAGACTCGGAGGTCTTCTCATAGAAGACTCGGAGGTCTTCTCATAGATTACTCGAAGGTCTTCTCATAGAAGATTCGAAGGTCTACTCATAGAAGACTCGAATGGTTTCTCATAGAAGATTAGAAGGTCTTCTCATAGAAGACTCCGACGTCTTCTCATAGAAGACTCGAAGGTCTTCTCATAGAAGACCCGGAGGTCTTCTCATAGAAGACTCGTAGGTCCTCTCATAGAAGACTCAAAGGTCTTCTCATAGAAGACTCGATGGTCTTCTCATAGAAGACTCGAAGGTCTTCCCATAGAAGACTCGGAGGTCTTCTCATAGAAGACTCGGAGGTACTCTCGTAAAGGATTCGTAGGTCTTCTCATAGAAGACTTGGAGGTCTTCTCATAGAAGACTCGAAGGTCTTCTCATAGAAGACTCGGAGGTCTTCTCATAGAAGACTCGGAGGTCTTCTCATAGAAGACTCGGAGGTCTTCTCATAGAAGACTCGGAGGTCTTCTCATAGAAGACTTGGAGGTCTTCTCATAGAAGACTTGGAGGTCTTCTCATAGAAGACTCGGATGTCTTCTCATAGAAGACTCGAAGGTCTTCTCATAGAAGACTCGAAGGTCTTCTCATAGAAGACTCGGAGGTCTTCTTATAGAAGACTCGGAGGTCTTCTTATAGAAGACTCGGAGGTCTTCTCGTAGAAGAAGGGAAGATCTTTCAGCTCCTCTATGAAAAGATCTTTCAGCTCCTCTATGAAAAGATCTTTCAGATCTTCTATGAGAAGGTCTTTCAGCTCCTCTATGAAAAGATCTTTCAGCTCTTCTATGAGAAGATCTTTCAGCTCTTCTATGAGAAGATCTTTCAGCTCTTCTATGAGAAGATCTTTCAGCTCTTCTATGAGAAGATCTTTCAGCTCTTCTATGAGAAGATCTTTCAGCTCTTCTATGAGAAGATCTTTCAGCTCTTCTATGAGAAGATCTTTCAGCTCTTCTATGAGAAGATCTTTCAGCTCTTCTATGAGAAGATCTTTCAGCTCTTCTATGAGAAGATCTCGGAGGTCTTCTCGTAGAAGAAGGGAAGATCTTTCAGCTCCTCTATGAAAAGATCTTTCAGCTCCTCTATGAGAAGATCTTACAGATCTTCTATGAGAAGATTTTTCAGCTCTTCTATGAGTAGATCTTTCAGCTCTTCAATGAGAAGATCTTAAGCTCTTCTATGAGAAGATCTTTCAGCTCTTCTATGAAAAGGTTGTCAGCTTTTCTATGAAAAGGTCTTTCAGGTTCTTCGCGGCTCTTCTAGGAGAAGATCTTAAGCTCTTCTATGGGAAGATCTTGAGCTCTTCTACGAGAAGATCTTTCAGCTCTTCTACGAGTAGATCTCAGCACTTCTATGAGAAGATCCTTCAGTTCTGATATGAGAAGATCTTTCAGCTCTTCGATTAGAAAATCTTTCAGCTCTTCTATGAGAGGAACTTTTGAGCTCTGCTATGAAAGGACCTTTGAGCTCTTCTATGACAAGACCTTTCTGTTCTTCTGATGGAAGACCTTTCAGCTCTTCTGAAGAAAGTTATCTAACTCTTCTCAAGGTGGACCTTTTTCTTCTTTCTTTTTCTCTTTTGTAAGAAGACCTTCTACTTCTCTTTAAAAAGTCTTTCTGTTTTTCTTTGAGAGAACTTGGTGGTCTTCTATAAGAAGCCTTCAATATTATTTAGTTTTAATCCTGCCAATTTTACAACTGTTTGATAATTCTCTTCTTTTCCTTTCCCAATTTCCTAGGACTACGACGAAAACTTCGACGAAGACATGGAAGCTGAACGTGATTTGGCCGAAGATGCCCAATGGAAGAAGATCCAACAGAACACCTTTACCCGCTGGGCCAACGAACATCTGAAGACCATCGATCGCAGCATTAGCAATCTGGAAAGCGATCTCTCCGATGGTCTGCGACTGATTGCCCTCATCGAAGTGCTGTCACAAAAACGCATGCCCAAATACAATAAAAGGCCAACATTCCGTTCACAAAAATTGGAAAATGTCTCGGTGGCATTGAAATTCCTCGAAGATGAGGGTATCAAAATTGTTAATATTGGTAAGTTGTTCTCACGTTCATATTTCAGTTTTTTTTTTAATTTTCAATTTAAAAAGATTTGAAAAAAATAATTTCAACTTTCGAAACTATAATTGAAAGTGTTAATAATTAAGCAGAAAGCAAGTGTAACAACACAAATTGTTAGACAAATTGTTGTAATGATTTCATCGTTATCATCATCGTTTACAGATGATTTCATAGCCTCCCCAACCCCCAAGCCACAACCACATTGGCTCTAGTGACTGGGTTACATTCATTGTCATTGCACCCATCCCATCCCCTTTGTTGTAATCGCTCTGGTCTGGTATTGAGACTGACTGTGTCATTTGATAATTATATGTGCACACACACATTCATACAACAAAAAAATATCAGAGCCATGTGGCCCAGAGCTGAGTTTCATTTTTTTTCATGATTTATTTTTTTCTTAACGAGAATTTGAATATCAACAACAAAAAATTTACTGTTCCATATTTTTTTATGTTTTGGGTGTTTCTCATGGACTCCAATTAAATAACCGAATTCTTTTGATAAATACCATTTCCCAAGGGGTTTGGGTATGTGTGTGCCTGCTTTAGGGTATTGCATAATGTCACTCCAAATGCCTCAACTTGCGTATTTTCAACAGTTCTTGCGAAATGTTAATTTTGGTTTTGCGGGTAAAGTTCTCCGCTTCTTATCTTTGAAACTGTTTAACAGCATTAACAGTTGTGGGCAATAAAAGAGCAATAAAATACGAATAAACGCCTAGAGGTGTTTCATTTATGGGAGTCTATTATTCATGGGAGATCCCCTATGAGAAGACTTTCTCTTCTCAGCTCTTCTATGGGAAGACCTTCTCATATCTCCTAAGAGAAGACTCTTCTATGAAGATCTTCAGCTCCTAAGAAGAAGATGTTCAGCTCCTCAAAGATAAGACTGTCAGGCTCCTCTGCAGACTCTTCTATGAGAGGCCCTTTGGTCTTCATTGACAAAGCCTTTGGTCTTCCATGAGAAGAACCTAGGGATTTCTTTGAGAAAACTCTTTAATTTTATGTGAGAACATCTCTTGGTCTTCATTGAGAACACCCCTTGGTCATTTATGAACAGACCCTTAGTCTTTCATGAACAGACCCTTTGGTCTTCTGGTCTCTGGTTTTCTACGAGAAGACCCTCTGGTCCTCCACAAAGAGGCTCTTTGGTATTCTATGAAAAAAACCCTTGGGTCTTCTATGAGCCGTCCCTTTGGTCTTCTATGAGAAGATCCTTTTGTCTTCTATGAGAAGACCTTCTGGTCTTCTATGAGAAGACCTTCTGGTCTTCTATGAGAAGACCTTCTGGTCTTCTATGAGAAGACCTTCTGGTCTTCTATGAGAAGACCTTCTGGTCTTCTATGAGAAGACCTTCTGGTCTTTTCTATGAAAAGTCCCTTAAGCTCTTCTATGAGAAGATCTTCAGCTCTCTATGGAGAAGACCTTTCAGCTCTTCTATGGATAGAAGACCTTTCAGCTCTTCTATGGATAGAAGACCTTTCAGCTCTTCTATGGATAGAAGACCTTTCAGCTCTTCTGTGGAGAAGACCAACAGCTCTTCTATAAAGAAGACCTTTCAGCTCTTCTATGGATAGAAGACCTTTCAGCTCTTCTATGGATAGATGACCTTTCAGCTCTTCTATGGATAGAAGACCTTTCAGCTCTTCTATGGATAGAAGACCTTTCAGCTCTTCTATGGATAGAAGACCTTTCAGCTCTTCTATGGATAGAAGACCTTTCAGCTCTTCTATGGATAGAAGACCTTTCATCTCTTCTATGGAGAAGACCTTTCAGCTCTTCTATGGAGAAGACCGTCAGCTATTCTATGGACAATACCTTTCAGCTCTTCTGTGGAGAAGACCTTTCAGCTCTTCTTCTATGGAGAAGACCTTTCAGCTCTTCTTCTGTGGAGAAGATCTTTCAGCTCTTCTGTGGAGAAGACCAACAGCTCTTCTATAAAGACCTTTCAGCTCTTCTATGGATAGAAGACCTTTCAGCTCTTCTATGGATAGAAGACCTTTCAGCTCTTCTATGGATAGAAGACCTTTCAGCTCTTCTATGGATAGAAGACCTTTCAGCTCTTCTATGGAGAAGACCTTTCAGCTCTTCTATGGAGAAGACCTTTCAGCTCTTCTATGGAGAAGACCTTTCAGCTCTTCTATGGAGAAGACCTTTCAGCTCTTCTATGGAGAAGACCTTTCAGCTCTTCTATGGAGAAGACCTTTCAGCTCTTCTATGGAGAAGACCGTCAGCTATTCTATGGACAATACCTTTCAGCTCTTCTGTGGAGAAGACCTTTCAGCTCTTCTTCTATGGAGAAGACCTTTCAGCTCTTCTTCTGTGGAGAAGACCTTTCAGCTCTTCTATGATGAGAAGACCTTTCAGCTCTTCTATGGAGAAGACCTGTCAGATCTTCTATGGAGAAGACCTTTCAGCTCTTCTGTGGAGAAGACCTTTCAGCTCTTCTGTGGAGAAGACTTTTCAGCTCTTCTGTGGAGAAGACCTTTCAGCTCTTCTGTGGAGAAGACCTTTCAGCTCTTCTGTGGAGAAGACCTTTCAGCTCTTCTATGGAGAAAACCTTTCAGCTATTCTATGGAGAAGACCTTTCAGCTCTTCTGTGGAAAAAACCTTCATCTCTTCCTTAAAAAGAGCTTTTGAAGACCCTTTGGTCTTCTATGACCCTTTGGCCTTTGATCTTCTAGGAGTCTTCTATGGACAGACCCTTTGATCTGCTATAAGCACACCCTTTGATCTTTTTGAGAAGGCCTTTGGTCTTCTATGAGAAGACCATTTGACCTTTTTTGAGTATACCCTATGGTCTTATATGAAAAGACCTCCGAGAATACTTTCAAGCTCTTCTTAGAGGAGACCTTCAAGCTCTTCTATGAGAATACCTTCAAGCTCTTCTATGAGAAGACCTTCAAGCTCTTCTATGAGAAGACCTTCAAGCTCTTTTATGAGAAGACCTTCAATCTCTTCTCGGAGAGAACCTTCAGCGCTTCTCTTAGAAGACCTCCAGCTCTTCTTATAAAAGGCCTCAAGCTATTCTTGGAGAATACCTTAAAGCTTTTCTTAGAGAAGACTTTTAAGCTCTTCTTGGAGATCTTAAAACTCTTTTTAGACCTTTAAACTCTTCTTAGTAAAGACCTGTAAGCTCTTCTGAGAGAAGACCTTTAAATACTTCTTAAGGAGGATTTTTTAAGTTATTTTATGAGAACACCTCCTGGCTCTTCTATGACAAAGCTTCTTCTATGGAAAGAGCTTTATCTCTTCCATGAAATGATATTCTGCCCATTTTGAGTTTTTCTCTTCTTCTTATTTCCATCCCTGCTAAGTACTTCCTCTGAACTGTAAATATTTGTTTTTACTCCACCCAAAAATACATTTTAATTCTTGGTGTTAGGAGGACGGTCAGTGGATTTAAGACGAATTTGTGTGACGAAATTCAAGGCTAAGCTGTGGAGTAATGAAACAAAAAAAAAAACCGGCGGAATATCCAAATCAATGGAACACACACGTCTGATGAAAAAAAACAACAATTTTTGCCTGCCTTTGTGGCGGCGGCATACGTTGTGTGCCAAAATAAATGTTAAATATTGTTGAGCTTTGTTTTTAAAGCCTGAATCCACTTTGGAGCCCCCTCAAAAAAGATGACATCATATGCCAATATTTTGCCGTTTTATTTTTTCAAGTTTTTACTTTCATTGGAATGTTGGTTGGTGTTTTTGTTGAGTTTGTCTGCCCATTTTGTGAGTTTTGTTAATTTTTTTATTTTCATTTTTTATTTATTTATTTTTATTTTTCGTATATTTTACCTGAAATGCATTCAGTGCTGCACTGCTCATTTGGCCAACCAGCCATGTGAATATGTATTTCAACGACCGTATCTAGACATTTACATCCGTCTGTCTCTCGATTTTGTGTCTATCTACAGTCTAATGAATGTCGAAAAAAATTGTTGTTATTCAGTTACTGTTTTTTATTTTTATTTGTAATACCTATTTTTGCCAATTTGTTTTGTGTTCAATATTTGTTGATGTTTTGGTTTTTTGTTTAAAGCTTTTTGAGCACGTTTTATTGTAATGTTCAAATGCAAAAAAAAAATTAAAACCAAAAAAAACGTTACTCATTCTCTCCCATTCAGGGGTGTTGATGACTTTGAATGCAGTTCCAAGTTTTTAACTTGAATATGACAAAAACATTTTTGTTGTTGTTTTTTTTTCTATAAAAAGTAATTGAGCAAAAAATGTATCTGTTTAAGTATCGATTTTCATTTTGGCAATGCAAGTGATAAACAAGTGTTTTTTTATTTAATTGAGTTTAGGAACTACAACTTTTCGTAGAAGGCAAATTAAGTTTGTCTCTAATTCTCTAAATTTGGTTAAATTTAAGTATCATAGGAATTGAATTGCTTAGAATTTTGATGGAAGCAAAATAAAAATATTGGATTTAATTAATTTGGCATATTTTTTGTCTACTGAACTAAAATTCAAAATTGATAAAAGATTTGGTGCACAATTAATTTGAAATCGGATAAAGATATATATGGGAGCTTTATCCAAATCTGAACCGATCTCGATAAAATTTAGCAAAGATATTTCTGAGCTGTATTTCATATATTTCCCTGAATCTCGTTGTTACGGAGTGCATATTATGGCTGTGGGTAACAAATATAACAAATCGGATGAACAATATATATGAGAGCTATAGCTATATCTAAACCGATCTTCACCAAATTTGGCATACTAGCTTCTAGACCCAATTCGGTCGCATGTGCCAAATTCCATCCCATTTGGGCAAATATTAGACGTTTGGTGTACAATAAAAGGTAAATCGGACGAAGTAATATATAGGAGTTACATCCAAATCTGAACCGATCACGATAAAATTTGCAAAGATATTTCTGAGCTGCATTTGATATATTTCCCCAAATAATGTTGTTACAGAGTGCATATTACGGCTGTGGGTAACAAATATAACAAATCGGAT